AACTCACAGTGTCAGTAGTATCCATTGGTAGAGGAAGCAGTCAACAGCCTTGGATGGGTTGTCTCGAGAGATGAAAAGGTTTGCAATCTGCTGCTCTGCTGCTCCTGCTGCTGCTCCTGCTCCTGCTGCTCCTGCTCCTGCTCCTGCTCCTGCTCCTGCTCCTGCTCCTGCTCCTGCTCCTGCTCCTGCTCCTGCTCCTGCTGCATTCTTTGTCCAAAATCCGACCCTAGGACTGTTGAGTGAGTACAGTGACTAGCACGACAGCAGACGGATTGGGATCTTTTCTGGACCGACACGTCAGTCTCAGAGGAGAGGGTGATGAGGCTGAAGAGATTTCAGGTTCTCCTGCTTGTTTCCGCTCAAACTGTTGAGGGGACTTGTTCTCCCCTCCTGCTCACTGTGTTCCGTGTTGCTGCAGAAGATCAATCACTTCGCTGGTATGAACATCCTGGCAAGGAAGGTGGGGATGGCTAAAGTGCTGAGGAGGATGGGACTGAAGGTGCGGGAAGTTGTCTCTGCCTCCTCTCCCTCTGCTGCTCTCGTTGTCTTGCTCCTGACATTTTACAGCTGCCCGAGCACTTCTCCTTCATGCCGCAAGTGAGACTACTTGCTGCGGCAACAATGCTGCTCCTGCTCCTAGTCCTTCTGCTCCTGCTCCTTTCCGACTGCTGCTCTTCCTCGTCCTGTTCCTGCTCCTGCCCCTACCCCTGCCCCTGCCCCTGCTCCACCTCCTCCTGGCTCATGCTCCTACTACGATGTGCAGGGACTGACTTGTTTGTGTTGCAAAGACCTGGCTCCTGCCGTCCGAGGCGTCAGAGCTGAAGGTGGAGGAGGATGCGGAACAGCGAGGTGGCGGGTTGAGCGTGATGTCGCAGATGCAGAGCAGGAAGCAGGAGCAGAAGTGGCTGATAGTGAAGCCGGACAACGGCTCGCAGGGGAAAGGGATTTTCTTGACAGACGACAGCGACAAGGTTGGACAGTATGCTGCTGCTGCTGCTGCTGCTGCTGCTGCTGCTGCTGCTGCTGCTGCTGCTGCTGCTGCTGCTGCTGCTGCTGCTGCTGCTGACAAAGGTTCCAGGCTTGCTGTGTATCTCCAGCGGGAGTGGCTCAAGAATACATTGAAAGACCATTCCTGATTGACGGTGAGGACGAGGGAGAAGAAGCTGGGGAAGTGTGTGGGTGTGTGGAGGGGGGGGAGGCGGGGGAGGGGAAGGGAAGGAGTGATACGTAACTCGCGATGTGGGGCCCTGCCTGGAA